CACTTACTGTTTTCAAGTAATAGTCATTTGAAAATTGAAAAAAAATAAAATCCCATAGGGTTCTATAGTAAACCCCTCCCTTCTTTAGGCACCTCAAAATACCCCTAAATAGACCCCAAGGCATAAACGAAAGATTGATGGCTGCGCTAGACATGTTAGTCTAACATTTTATGAAACCCTAAGTAAATCTGACAAGCGGTCCAAGTGGACTTGGTCTGACTTGTCTCGGGGACGAGTTGTCCACATTTCTTAAAACATCCCATCAACGTCAATTTTCATCTTCGTCATTCATAAAACAACAACAACTTTATTTGGCAAGTTCAGTGATGAAAGGAATAATATAATAAAAGAAAGGAATTTAAATGTGCATACATTTAATTGAAATTCATTGATTAATCACAATCTTCTTAAACGAAAAGAAGATCATGATAAACAAAACTTACTTTATAACATCAGAATACTTACAAGCTTACGTTTCGTGTAAGTTAAAATTACCGCCAACTTAGACTACTATGTATAACTTTATTTCCTCTTTCATAGAGTTTTGGTGTACATGAACAATATTCCTGCGCCGTTTGTCATTTGGGAAATGTAAACGACTTGTAATTAGAGATTTTTGGCAATGAAATATTTCATACAATTGTTCTTTGACATCTTAGCCAAAAGCACATGTGATAATAAACTACGTACAGATTTCTATTGAGCACTACTTCCTATATGCAACTTCAAAAATTTTGGGTGGTTCGACGATCATTTAAGGTTTTTCTGGTCATATTTTTTGTATTCCAGAATTGAAAGTATGAAAAAAGTGCCCAATTAGTTATTAATAACATATTAGCCAGCTAGATAATAACAATAGCACTTTTTACACCATTCAGTGGGAAGAACACAAATCTAGGGTGGTAGTATAAGGCAGCTTAACTGCCTAAAAAGTGTTGAAAACTGATTTGCCGGACTGACGGATGGACAGAGTGCATCCCTAAAGTCCCCTTCGAATTCGTCGGTAGGGGACTAACTAGCTTTTTTTATTTCTAGCTAAAACAATAAGCACATGGTCTCCCATTCTTTTCTTTGGAATCAACAATTTACTGCTTTAAGAATGTTATATCAAAATTAAAACAAGAAAAAAATCAACAGTAGATTATTTTTGTATGCATTGGTATAGGCAAGAAAATTGTTTACGGCTTTCTATTACCAATTACTGGATTATTTTACAAAAACTTATTTACACTCAACCATCAATTTAGGAAAACACTCCATACAAAAACAATAAAAATAACTTTCTGTTTGAAGGTAGTGTTATTTTATCAGAAAAGTATTGAAAAATGAAATTTTGTGTTTTTAAATAAAACATGCTTATTTCAGACTGAAATATCTAAAAATAAATGGGGAATGTGACCATGGGACACAGATGATGCCCCCGCTTGCATATATCGTTAAAAAGGGATTTAACTCAAGAACTGTAAAAGTGACTCAACCAAAATTTGTACTTGATCTGAGTTTTGTGGTAATAAGCATTGTGTACCGGTATAAGTTTCATAACATTTGATTGAGGCAAACTTAAGAAAGAGAACGGAAACGAAAAATTCAACAATTTTTCCCTTTGTAAAGGGCATACCTTTAGAACGGTAAACGTGACGCCACCAAAATTCCAACTTGATCTGTGTTTTGTGGTAATTAGCATTGTGTATAAGTTTCATAAGATTTGGTTGAGGCAAACTAAAGTTAAAGAACAGAAACGAATATTTCAGCATATTTTCCATTTGTAAAGGGGCATAACTCTAGAACGTTAAAAGTGACGCCACCAAAATTCCAACTTGATCTGTGTTATGTGGTAATAAGCATTGTGTATAAGTTTCATAACATTTGGTTGAGGCAAACTAAAGTTAAAGAACGGAAACCAATTTTGGGACGTACGGACGGACGTACATATGGATGTACAGACGGACAAGGGTAAAACTTAATGCCCCCTCCGCTAGGGCAGGGCATAAAAAGTTAGTCATAGAGATACAATTTTCTTTGCATATTTCTATATTGCATATCAAAGTTGACCTAGTGCGTAAAAATTTTATGGACAAGAAATGATTGTAACAGGATGCTGTTACGAAGTCTCCCAAACGAAGCTCCCATAATTCGTAATTTCCAGTGTCGCCTGACATTGGACAAAGTCCAGTGAAAATTGGTTTGGTCCAGTAAAATTAATGCATTAGTGATGCCTGGGGACTAACCCTGTATATCATTCAAATCATCTTGGCATGACAACCCAGAATATATATGGTTTAGGGGTGGGGATCTCGACCATTTACAAGATACTAGAACATTGGGGGTGGGGGGAACCCCTGGGGACTGACCCTATACATCATTCAAATGTTCGAGAAACGACGAACAGGAATATATATGGTCTAGGGGTGGGGATCTCAACCATTTACAAGATATTAGAACATTGGGGGTGGGGGGAACCCAGTGGGGACTGACCGTATACGTCATTCAAATGTTTGAGAAATGATGAACAGGAATATATATGGTTTAGGGGTGGGGATCTCGACCATTTACAAGATATTAGAACTTTCTCAAATGGCAGGAGGTCGGGATGACCCCTGGGGACTAACCCTGTATATCATTCAAACCACCTTGGTATGACAAACCAGAATATATATGGTTTAGGGGTGGGGATCTTGACCACTTACAAGATATTAGAACTTTCTTAAATAGCAGGGGGTGGGGTGACCCCTGGGGACTAACCCTGTATATCATTCAAACCATCTTGGTATGACAAACTAGAATATATATGGTTTAGGGGTGGGGATCTTGACCACTTTCAAGATATTAGAACTTTCTTAAATAGAAGGGGCTGGGGGTGACCCCTGGGGACTAACCCTGTATATCATTCAAACCATCTTCGCATGACAAACCAGAATATATATGGTTTAGGGGTGGGGATCTTGACCACTTACAAGATATTAGAACTTTCTTAAATGGCAGGGGGTGGGGGTGACCCCTGGGGACTAACCCTGTATTTCATTTGATGTGCTTTATCATGACAAACCAGAATATATATGGTTTAGGGGTGGGGATCTCTACCATTTACAAGATATTAGAACTTTCTCAAATGGCAGGAGGTCGGGATGACCCCTGGGGACTAACCCTGTATATCATTCAAACCATCTTGGTATGACAAACCAGAATATATATGGTTTAGGGGTGGGGATCTTGACCACTTACAAGATATTAGAACTTTCTTAAATGGCATGGGGTGGGGGTGACCCCTGGGGACTAACCCTGTATATCATTCAAACCATCTTCGCATGACAAACCAGAATATATATGGTTTAGGGGTGGGGATCTTGACCACTTACAAGATATTAGAACTTTCTCAAATGGAAGGGGGTCGGGATGACCCCTGGGGACTAACCCTGTATATCATTCAAACCATCTTAGCATGACAAACCAGAATATATATGGTTTAGGGGTGGGGATCTTGACCACTTACAAGATATTAGAACTTTCTTAAATGGCATGGGGTGGGGGTGACCCCTGGGGACTAACCCTGTATTTCATTTCATGTGCTTTATCATGACAAACCAGAATATATATGGTTTAGGGGTGGGGATCTCGACCATTTACAAGATATCAGAACTTTCTCAAATGGCAGGAGGTCGGGATGACCCCTGGGGACTAACCCTGTATATCATTCAAACCATCTTAGCATGACAAACCAGAATATATATGGTTTAGGGGTGGGGATCTCGACCATTTTCAAGATATTAGAACTTTCTCAAATGGCAGGGGGTCGGGATGACCCCTGGGGACTAACCCTGTATATCATTCAAACCATCTTAGCATGACAAACCAGAATATATATGGTTTAGGGGTGGGGATCTTGACCACTTACAAGGTATTAGAACTTTCATTAATGGCAGGGGGTGGGGATGACCCCTGGGGACTAACCCTGTATTTCATTTAATGGGTTTTATCATTTAGAACATTTTCAATTAAAAAGATTGTGTCTATCACAAATGGTTTTCAATTTATAATCATTTGAAAATTTAAAAAAATAAAATCCCATAGGGTTCTATAGTAAAACCCTCTTTTCTTTTTGCCCCTCAAAGTACCCCTTTATAAACCCCATTGCACAAACAAAACCCTGATTGCACCACTAGACATGTTAGTCTAACATATTGTGAAACCCTAAGTTAATCTGACAAGCGGTTTTGGAGAACGGGTGCGGACAAGTTCAAATTTAAAAGCGGCGGAAGAGGAAGAGGAAGAGGAAGAAGAATAATAATAATAATAAGAACTGAGCAAAAACAATAAGTCTTCCCAAACTTCGTTTGGGAGACTTAAAAATTAAACGAGGATTTTTTTCTGTAACATATGGCCTTAACCTCCTAAAAGTGGAAGAGCTTATAAAGAAAGACCTGCTGGCATGTTTTTCATAGCAAAAATTTGTCTCCTATCTCAGATTTTTCTGATTATAGAACTAATTTTTAAAAGGTATTGATGTGCAGAAACCTTCATACAAATTTAAATAGGATCTGATGAAACATGAACATGATGTTCCAGTAACAAGAATTAATATGTCATATTTTTTTAAGTCTTCCTCCATAAAATATGGTCCCCATTTCAGATTTATCTGATAATCAAATTTTTATGTTATTGTCCGAAGTGTTGACCAAGGTCGGACAGACAGACTGATAGACAGACAACAGTATACCATAATAGGTCCCATCTTAGACTGGCATATAAAAAATGAAGATGCAATTACCCCTTGATAGATGGTTCATTCATGTAAACAGGGACCCTTGGTCTGTTACCTGGACAAATAAGGTAATTGTATACAGGAAATATTTAGAAATAAAACGTTTATATGTGTGCAATATCACAGCAACAACAAAGAGATATCATAGACAGAGGCAATGACTGACTGAAGAACAGTGTGTCAAAAACATTATACCCTCGGCAAATTGTGTGGGGAATAAAAAAGTACTTTAATTTCTAACCTGTATAATGACAACTTTTGGTTTAAATCTCAGTGGTAGACAATTTGTGGCATTAAAGGTTTCTACAATTTCTTCAATTCTCATCAATTGATCTGTGGCATAAACCCCATTCTCAGTTCCATGGGACAAAACCACCAATACAAAACAATCCACTGGTTTGGTAATTAACTGTCTCTTTACTACAATACATACTGAATACTGTAAATCAGAAATCATTGAGTGCATTTATTATTGCAATTTTGGAAGAATGGACAAAAATGTGAGATTAATTATTGCGATTTCAGGAAATCTGCATACAGCTATATGAATAAGATATCAGAAGACGAGTTCTTATTATTGCAATACTCCACCAGTTGCATTTTTTGCGTCAATAAAAACCTCGCAATAATTTCCAAATTTACAGTATACATTTGTGTATTATGAAAAATTTCAACAAAAAAAGCCTGAATTGATAATTTCCCATCTTGTTATATATTGTTTGTATATACATATCCACAGAGAATTAGATAGTTTTAGCAATGAAATGTTTCAGAAAAGGAGTTTAAATATATAGAACATAATCATATTAAAATTGATCCTGATTGATTCAAATACAGACCAGTTTTTTAAAACCAATTGGTAATTAAATACTGTTCTCATCTGAATCTTTTTAAAGGGGAGTTGACAACAGCGTTTCACTTTTTTGACAAATTGTTTTCATTTTCAGACAGGTAAAATTTCAGGCCCCAAGACATTTAAGCCAAGAATTTTGAACTACTAGCCTTACTAGGGGACATTTAAGCGCAGGATCATTCGGTTCACCTGTATTTTCGATAGCCCATTTTAGCGAAAACTTAAAATGTTAAATAATAATCACAAAACTAAAACCATGAATAGTAATTTATGTGCATCTCAATCTAGACAAGAGAAAGAGAAGGAACAGTTCCTTTTGCAATTTTATGAATAGTATTGTACAGGGGTATATCAAGAGTCTAAATGTGAAAAAAGTTTTTTTTAATCAATAGACATGAAGACTAAAAAACATCTGACACTTCAATTTCTCTTTGCCGAAAAAAAAAAAGAAAATGCCTACCTACTTACCCACTGTCTCTACCTATGGGTAGGGTTTTGGCAAACCAAATTATTTTAAAGTGTGGCCACATTACATATGTTCTTTATGATACAAATTCCAGGCTACAAAGGACTATTAACATTTGCATTAACCTTTTAAGAATTGAGCGCTGTATTTTAATGGACATATTTTTTAAACTGTGCTTTCTTGATTCTATTGAAATTTATAATTTATTATTTATGATTCTGCCACTAAAATGGCCATTGATAATTTAACTTTTGGCTTAAATGAGTGAAAAATCTTCTGCTAAAATGGGCATTGATAGTTTCACTTTTAGCTAAAATGGGGTAAAAACCTTGCACTAAAATGGGTAATAATTTGTTGCTAAAATGTCAGATTTTTTTCACTAAAATGTCCTCTGCTGAAAATTTCATAGTGGTCATTTTCACAAAGGCAAATTGATTAAAAAGTTAATGTGAATGAAACCAGATGATGCAAAAAATGCTTTTTCTATATTTAGAAATGTAATGATGTAAATATTGGTGTAGAAGATAAATATATTAAAATATATGTCAAAATAGATTAAATGGTTTTCAATAAATAACTAAATATAAGTTTTATTATATACTATAATTACCCCTTTCAAACCACTCAATCGTAGTAGATTTAGATAAATCTGTTTCGAGTTCATATTCAAATCCCAACTCTGAAAATCTTTGGCTTATAGTGGAAGCATCTATATCACTACCAGCACGGTCTCCTAAATTTTCACCTGTTACACGAAATTCTTTGTTGTTGAGTACAAGAACTAGTCCTGATTTTATTTCGTAGTATTTACTATCAAATTCTTCCTTGGTAATTGCAACTGTAATAGGTGGTCCTGTTCTTGGTCTATCAAATGAGAAGATACTATGTTATATTCAAAGAACATTTTGAGAATTAGTTTAATGTCATATGAAACTTCGTATTTAAGAAAAAAGTTGAATATGTTTTATATATTTGAATGGCTAAGTTTTACTTTAAAACATGTGTATGTGAACTTTCTTGTAAAACAAAATCCTTTTATATAATAAAAATCCTCACACATGTACTGCTATTGAAACATTGTTTTCATGTACTAATATGCAGTGACCATACATACGAGTCCTCTCCATAGAACTTTGGCCACTGCACAGCGCAAGTGCGAGGGAAAAACAGTGATGAAAGAATGTAAAAAAACGTGTAATTGAAGGTAAATAGTAATAACTGATTCTTAAAGAACAAACTTAATACAACAAATCATTTAACAACTGTAAAGAAAAGTTTAATTAACAAATAGGAATGCATGGAAAATATAAAAAAAATTATCATGGCTCTATCAATTCACTTATTTGTCATGTGCTTCACATGCTCTGTGTTGATTTTTTATCAATGTCACGATCCAGTTAACTTCTTCAACAAACACGAAAGTTAATTAGCTTGCGATCAACAATCACTGAATGAAATATTATTTGTCAATATGGTGTTATAGATTCATAATAAATATTAAAAAAAAGTGCAAACAGGACTTAGTTTAGTATATATCCTTGCATTGGTTCAATGATTTCGATAACATCAAAATTACAAGAAACTCGTTGCATAAGACTTTAAAACACATAAAACTAATAAAATGCTCGACAGGGCAGAGCTTGATATGACCGCATAGGTTGAAACCGGATCAGTTAGGGCAAGTATGGACACAACATTCAAGCTTGATACAGCTCTGAATTTGGATTGTGATTAAATATTTGACACAGCATAGGTTTCTGACACAGAATGAATGTGGTCTAAAAAATTTGAAATTGGACATTTACCTATTATGGTCCAATATCCAAAATCTAAATACACAGTTAGATTCAGCATATCATAGAACTCCAAATATTCAATTTTTGATGCAATCACACTTAGTTTAATTTTAGACCTTAATTTGGACCAATTTGAAAACCAGGCCCAAAATCCAAAATCTAAATGCACCATTAGATTCAGCATATAAAAGAGCCATAATAATTCAATTTTTGAAGAAATCAAACAAACTTTAATTTTGGACCCCAATTTAAGCAAAAATAAAATGCTTCGCTGGGCCCAGCTTAATACGACCGCAGAGGTGGAACCCTGAACAGTTGGGGCAAGTATGGACACAACATTCAAGCTTGAAATTAATTTTGGACCCTTTTGACCTCAATATGAACCAATTTGATAGCGGGATCCACAAATAAAAAATCTAAATACATGGTTAGATTCAGCATATCAAAGAACCCCACATATTCAATTTTTGTTGAAATCAAACAAAGTTTAATTTTGGACCCCAATTAGGACAAACTTGAAAACTGGACCAAAAATCAAAAATCTAAATACATGTTTAGATTCAGCATATCAAAGAACCCCATATATTCAATTTTTGTTAAAATCAAACAAAGTTTAATTTTGGACCCTTTGGACCTTAATGAAGACCAATTTGAAAACTGGACCCAAAATTAAAAATCTAAATACACGGTTAGATTCTGCATAACAAATAAATAAATGTGGTCAAAGATTTTACAAATCTAATGCGCCATACTGTGCAATTAAAGATTACCGTACTTCTTGAAATTTTTCAATATTTGAAATTTGAAAAAAAATAATATTTGAAGAATAATTCTTTTTAATTTTTGAAATCTGAAATGAGAAAAAATTGACCCCCACAATTTCTTTTTACCCCCCCCCCCCCTTTTTTCCCCCAAAAAATTCTTTCCCTCAAGATATGGTCATAATCTCAGTTCAAATTTCCAATGGAATTTGCAACCATAACTACCAATTTAAATTTACCATAGTGCTAACTTAATATATTTTATAATAGAATTTAAAATATAGTGTCAAATCTTTCATATGGATTTTTTTTGTAAAAAAAAAAGATGCAACATTTACAGATATTTTTACTGGTCTTCCTTTATAAATATGCATTTCTTCAAACATAATTTAAAAGCAGTGTAAGGGAAATAACCAAAACGTTGTATTTGGATTACCTCCCTTACACTGTTTTAAATTATCTTAATTGTTCATTAACCATTACTTTATACATAATTTAAAAGCAGTGTAAGGGAGGTAATTTCAATGATGTATTTGATTTATCTCCCTTACACTGCTTTAAATTATGTTTTGTACTAAAGTATTTGTTCATTAACCAGGACAACCTTGTTTTTCCCCCTTTTTTGCCCCTAATTCCTAAACGGTTTGAGCCATAACCCCCCAAAGCAAATCCTAACCATCCCTTTGTGGTATAGAAACTTGTAGTATAATTTCAGAGAGATCCATACACCGTTCCACAGTTATTGTCTGGAAACTAGAAAATGCTTATTTTTGGCCCCTAATTCCTTAACTGTTGGTACCATAACCCCCAAAATCAATCCCAACCTTCCTTTTGTGGTATTTAACCTTATGGTAAAATTTCAAAGAGATCCATTCACTTAAACTAAAGTTAGAGTGCGAAAACCAATGTGTCTTCGGATGACAACGACGCCAACGTCATACCAATATACGATTTTTTTGCGGTCGTATAAAAATTAATTTTGGACTATTTGGACCTTTATGTGGATTGTGGACCAATTTGAAAATGGAGGGTTAGATTCAGCATATCAAAGAACCCCAATAATTCATTTTTTGAAGAATTAAAACAAAGTTTAATTTTGGACCCTGATTTAAACAAACTTGAAAACTGGGATCATAATCAAAAATCTTAATACATGTTAAGATTCAGCAGAACTCAAAGAATTCAATTTTTGATGAAATCAAACTAAGTTGAATTTTGGACCATTTAGACCTTAACCAGGCCCAAAATCAAAAATCTAAATACACCATTAGATTCAGCATATCAAAGAACAAGAATTAAATTTTTCTTGAAATCAAACAAAAAAGTTTAATTTTGGACTTTTTGGACTTTTTTGTGGACCAATTTGAGAATGGGGCCCTAAAAATTAAAAAATCTAAATTCTGGGTTAGATTCGGCATATCAAAGAACCCCAATAATTCAATTTTTGATGAAATCAAACAAAAAAAGTTTAATTTTGGACCCTTTGAACATCAATGTGGACCAATTTAAAAATGGGGCCCAAAATCCAAATTATTCTAAATACAAGGTTAGATTCAGCACATCAAAGAACCCCAAGAATCAAGACTTTGAAGTAAACCCCATTGAAATTGGCCAAGAAATAAGCAATTTATACAAAGTATTAGAAAAGTTTTGTTTTTGGTCCCTTTTTGGCCCCTAATTCCTAATCAGTTAGGACCATAACCCCCAAAATCAATCCCAACCTTCCTGTTTTGGTATGGAACCCTGTGGTACAATTTCATGGAGATCCATAGACTTATATTATTGTCCAGAAACAGAAAATCCTTGTTTTGGGGTTTGGGATGTAACCCCCAAAATCAACCCCAACCTTCCATTTAAGGTATGGAACCTTGTGGTACAATTTCATAGAGATCCATACACTTATACACAAGTAATTGTCCTGAAACAAGAAAAATGCTTGTTTTAGGCCCCAATTCCTAAACAGTTAAGACAATAACCCCCAAATCAATTCCAACCTTCCTTTTGTGGTATGAAACCTTGTGGTACAATTTCATAGAGATCCATACACTTATACACAAGTAATTTTCCTGAAACAAAAAAAATGCTTGTTTTTGGCCCCAAATTCCTTAACAGTAAAGACAATAACCCCCAAAATCAATCCCAACATTCCTTACAATTGTTGTACAATTTCATAGAGATCCATAGACTTACTCAAGTTATTGTCTGGAAACCAAATGTCTTTGGACGACGCCTATGACGTCATCGCCATACCATATGGCCAAAAAAAATTTCAGACGTATAAAAATGAAAAAAATATAGTTTAATATGAAATAAACTTTCACCTCAGACTGAGCCTGAGTTTTAAAATTTTCAAAATTTTGCTCTGGATACTGTCTTTTGGTCATAAATTTGAATGTTAACTGTAAAAAAAACTAAGTCCATTTATCAGTAAAATATGTAAAAATGAAAATAAATATTTTCAAAATTATGCTATGGGTACTGTATGTTGGTCAAAAACAAGCTTCTGTCCAAATTCCATAAAATTCCATGTAGGTTTGACAAAGTTATTGACGTCTAAAAAACGATAACCACAGACTGATCCTAAATATTGACGCAACCGACGCCGATGATGGAATCTAGGATTGCTATGTCTCTACAAAAATGGTAGGTGATGAATACTTATTATATGCACATCATGTTGATACTTATATTTGGGCAGTGCACAAGGTCATGCTTTTCTCAAGAATGCTTATGACGTGTTCTTACTGACAATTTAAAATGAACTACATGTATGACTTTTCATTACTAATTGAAAGCTTAACTAGGAGTCTAAGGATATTTGATTTTGATGGAACTTGATTCAGGCATCAAAGATGCAGATGATGAAATTCAATTATGAGGATGTATGTCAGTTTGTTTCAGAGAACTGGCTGTGGATGTCACCTGAAATGTAAAGATAAATATTACCTTGGTCCTCTAGCATGTGTAGTTGGAGGAATCCAGTCACCATGAACAACGCTGGCATCTAAAACTGAAAATATTAAAAGATATCAGCATGGCTTAGAGAAATGATTGATTGGCTTGTTGTTTGCTCTATGTCCAGTTGTAAATGTTTCATGCATGTTCAGGACTAGAAAAAATTAACAATAAATACAATAGGTTGGTCCTGTAATAGGGGTCGACCAGGATGAAAGGCAAGGAAATTTGGACTGCCACTGGAAATGAGGGTATATTGGATAGGGACAGAAATGTATCCTTGGAACAGGCCTACTTCCCCTTGAACAGTTTTTGCAAGGGTTCTTAATGTGCAGAGAGGGTGGCACTAACTCTCTACACGAAGCATCAGATTTGACATCCCCATTATGCCATGATGTAGTTGCGAGTTTATAGGTCTTTTTACATCCTGCACAGCTAAAAAGGACGTCCCACTTTGGCAAGGGTTTTACTGCCAGTCAGAAGAATACCAAGAGATGACCATATTTCTATATCCTAGTCATCTTTGGGATTTAAGACATGAATTATTGAATAAAACTATACAGGAAACTAAAAAAATATCAACTTGAGGATCTTTTGGGGAATTACTGTGTATGTTTGTATCTAAACTAAAAGGTATGCCATGCATAATTCTGTACTAATACTATACATTTTTAATTGATCCTTTCATATGTTGTCTCACAAAATATAAATTTGATAAAGGACTTTGTCTAACAAAGCTTAATTACACCAGTCTATTTCTTTAGCCACTATTCTTAAGCCCATGTCTAGAAAAAATTGGTTCACTCTAGTAAAAATAAAAAGAATTTTGTTGAGGGAAATAGAACACGAGGCTAGGTCTATGTGCATCTTCAATAATGGACACTCTCCAACATTGTAGACTAGAATAGAATTTATGACAAAAAGCTCTTTTTTGTTGATCTTGCATCGCTGATAAAAAAAATCTGTTTACAGTTTCTCTATGATATCTTCTTTAGTTTTTGCCCAAAACACAAAAAAGGGTCAAACATATAGTCATTTGAGGGCAATCACTCCTATAGAGAGTCTACTAGCATTTTCTGTAAAATTTTACTTTTGTTTAGATCTTCACTTGCTGATCATTTTGTTATTTAAAGTGTCTATCTGTTATAGCTTACAACATAATAGGCAAAAAACGCAAAAAAAATTGTAAAAAATCGTCATTAAAGAGCAAGAACACCAATAAAGAGTCGACTGATGATTTCAACTATGTTGACATATTTGTAAATCTTGTCTTGCTGATCATTTCTGCTATTCATGCTATTTAAAGTGTCGATTTATCAAATGAATTTTTCAAGTTTAAAGGCAAAAACACTAAGTATTATCATTAAAGAGCATCAACTCCAATAAGGGGTCAATTGAAATTTCAGCCATTACACATATGTGTATATCTTGTCTTTTTGTTCATTTTTGATAGTTTAAGTGTCTACCTATCTACTATAATGTATACGATATTAGACAAAAATGCAAAAAAAATCATAAAAATTGTCATTAAAGGGCTGCTACTCCAATAATGAGTTGTATGATGTCCATGTTAACTTATTTGTAGATCTTGTCTTGCTGATCATTTCTACTATTTAAATTTTCTATCTATTTATTATAGTTTTCAAGATAATACACAATAAAGAAGAAAAAATTGGTAAAATTCATCATTTAAGGGTAATATCTCCTAGTTAACGGACAGTCTTGACTTGAATAGAGAATCTCAACATGGTGAACATTTCTCAGCCGGCCCAAGAACACACTTATTTTGTAGTTCATTTCTTTTAGACAATAAATTCAAATTAAAATAAAGAGCTGTGCCATGAGCGCATGATACCCCCATCACTTTTTTGAAGAATAAAGTTCCTTAACTCCTCAATGTCACATCAGAAATTTATAAAAAACTTAAGGGAGGTTAATTTAATAGATATAAAGCAGTCACCAAAGTTTCATGTAAACTGCTCAAAGCACTTTTGAGTTATTGTCCGAAAACTGGAAAATCCCCCCTTTTTTTATGAATAAAATCCCATAACTCGGAAAAGTCAAATCTAAAATTTATAAAAATCGAGAGAGAACTTACGTCAATAGATATAAACAATCCAGCAAAGTTTCATGAAAACGGCTCAAAGCACATTTGAGTTATTGTTCGAAAACTGGAAAATCCCCCTTTTCTGATGAATAAAAGCCCATAACTCGAAAATTTAAAACCTAAAATTTAAAAAAATAGAAAGGGAGCTCACCTCAATAGATATAAACAATTCACCAAAGTTTCATGCAAATTGGTTAAAGCGTTTTTGAGTTATTGTCCGACATGTTGACTACAGACGGACGGACAACGGTATACCATAATACGTCCCGTAAACGGGCATATAAAAATCGCACCTGCTCTATCTCAAAAAGATTTTCACAGTGTAGTGTACTACTTTTGGGACAAATAATATCAAAATTATAGAAAAGTTTACCAGCTCTAACTCATAGTATGGACAATTCTATGTTAACAGGGTCTATAATTCAGTTTGACAGCTTCAGACATACTAATTTTTGACCTTTTTTACTGGACCAAATCACTACTTCACATAAAATTCATCACCCAAATTTTTATAACATGTAATTTTATCCCCTACTTAATATTTCATGCATAAAATATAAAAAAATTTGCAAGTTATACACTGTTCATAATAGGGACTATATCTGTAGACAATGAAAATCAAAGGACAATAACTGTGTCCTTGGACCAGCCCCAGTCAGATTTTCCCTATTTATAGTGGTTTTCAAGATAAAAGACAAACCTTGCAATACACCCCTATGTTCTAGTTTTAGCCATGTCCGACATGTGAGTTGGCATGTAGGGTCATTGGACAAATTTTTTAAACCAAATACTCCAATGAAGATTGTGGCCAAGTTTCGTTGAATTAGACCAGTAGTTTCCATAATTAGTGGCATTTAGATAGTTTTCACATGTTTCAGCTCGATACACACCAAAAGAAAATTGCTTAGTTACATTTTTTTTTCTGCATAACATGCAGGTTGTATAGCCATTAGTACTGTTGAATATGGCTCTTCTGGTTTGCCGTATGTAGCTTCCAGTTAAGATCTTATGGATTGGGATTCTTGAGATATCTCTAGTTATAGCAGAGCAAGTTGTTGCAGTAGGGAGACATATTTGAATTCTGTTTACTTCTGTTTTTTTGGTGCACTTGGACATGTTGGAACGCTTTATTGAAAAAAGTTATTAGCATTTTTATATCGGTCAGGATATTCATCACAGCAATAATGACTATGGTCAGGTCAAGTTTTGTAATTCATATTATTATTTTTTTTTCATTTCTTTTATTAAAGAGGGGCGTAAAGGAAATAAAATTGCCATTTCACGATGAACGAACAATTAAAAATTTCTTGCATGTTGATCTTTTTACCGATTTTACAAAACACGGTGAATAACGAACCTTTTTCACGGCTGCACGTGAAATAAAAATGGCAAAACACGTTGCACGAAAATAACCCTTTACCACCCTCATTAAACGTTATAATCTTCCTTGGTACCAAATTGAAGTCTTCCCTTCAAAGAATAAAAAATTGATTAGTATTTTTCATATGGGTCTGGACACTGATCAGGACATTAGTTTAGCCTACAGCAGCGATCTGTCAGAACACGCTAACTGAACGCACTCCCGGATTGGAATACAGATAAATGTCAATAAGCTCTATTGAAAATGAAAGTAGGTTTGTGCATAATTTTTTTAATGTTCCCGTAAAGAATATTTATAACAAAAAAGTCAACTTGTTTACTGTATTTACATGTTTGTTTGTTGCCCGACATGTTTTCTGTTGATAATACTTTGAAGCCACTTTTCTAAAGTAATAACAAAAATCCAACAGGAAGTTTAAAAAAAAGGAACTGTAACCTGTACGGTGTATGAACAGAAATATGCAGGATTAATTTACCGGAAGCTATTTTGTTCCATATTGAAGGGGAAAGAGCAGTTCTTCTAACAAAGTCCTTTATTTTATTATTTATGTAAACAATATGAATGATTTTCTAGTCAAAAACCATTAAAATGCATCTGAAACTTAAAACTGTTGTTCAAACCAAAGACAGATAACACAAGAGGCTCACTAGCTGTCAAACATTAAAATGATAAGTAAAAAATCAAGTTAGTACACAAAATTCTTTTAAGGGCAAATACTGCTATAAAGGGTCAGACAATGGTTTCTGTCATATTGACATTCCTATAGATCTTGTATAACGATATTAATTGATGTTGATAGTTTCTATCTATCTATTATACAAGGCAAATACTCGAAAATCAGTTTAAAAAATATGCCATGATATTTAAGGGCAATAACTCCTGAAAGAAGTCATCTGATAGTTACGGTCATTGGCATTTTGTATATCTGATCAGTTTTGCTGTTTACAGTTTCAACTTATCTATATATAGTTTTCAAAATAATAGACAAAAACTTGTTAAATTATTTTTTAAAAATCCGGCTTCATTCAAGGGCAATAAATTATAAGAAGTCATCCTATGTTTACGGATATATTAGAATTTTCATTTGACTTCTATTGTTGGTCATTTTTACTGTTTACAGTTTCTACTTATCTATTATATTTTTTTTGGGATAATAGGCAAACACACTAAAACTAGTCAAAACTTTATCGTCATTTACAGGCAATTTAACTCATTAAGGGATCATCCCATGGTTTCTATTCTTTTCTAGATCTTGTATTGCTGATAATTTTTACTGTTTACACATTCTACTTATCTACTATACTTTTTTGAGATGATAGACAAAAACTCGTAAATTAGCCAAAAATCGTCATTTAAGGGCAATTTCTCCTGAAGGAGTCTTCTGATAATTTTGTCCTAACTGGAAATAGGTAAATCTTGACATTATGAGCATTTACAACGCGTCAGATTTTCTCTGTTCTATTTTTAGCCATTAACAAAGAATAGAGAATACTGGACAATAATAAAGAATAGAGAATACTGGACAATTACAAAGAATAGAGAATACTGGACAATAATAAAGAATAGAGAATACTGGACAATAATAAAGAATAGAGAATACTGGACAATAATAAAGAATAGAGAATACTGGACAATAACAAAGAATAGAGAATACTGGACAATAAAAAAGAATAGAGAATACTGGACAATAACAAAGAATAGAGAATACTAGACAATAAAAAAGAATAGAGAATACTGGACAATATCAAAGAATAGAGAATACTAGACAATAATAAAGAATAGAGAATACTGGACAATAATAAAGAATAGAGAATACTGGACAATAATAAAGAATAGAGAATACTGGACAATAACAAAAAATAGAGAATACTGGACAATAATAAATAGTAGAGAATACTGGACAATAACAAAGAATAGAGAATACTGGACAATATTAAAGAGTAGAGAATACTGGACAATAACAAAGAATAGAGAATACTGGACAATAATAAAGAATAGAGAATACTGGACAATAATAAAGAATAGAGAATACTGGACAATTATAAAGAATAAAGAATACTGGACAATAACAAAGAATAGAGAATACTGGACAATAATAAAGAGTAGAGAATACTGGACAATAACAAAGAATAGAGAATACTGGACAATAATAAAGAGTAGAGAATACTGGACAATAACAAAGAATAGAGAATACTGGACAATAATAAAGAGAAGAGAATACTGGACAATAACAAAGAATAGAGAATACTGGACAATAGTAAAGAATAGAGAATACTGGACAATAATAAAGAATAGAGAATACTGGACAATAATAAAGAATAGAGAATACTGGACAATAACAAAGAATGAGAGAATACTGGCCAATAATAAAGAATAGAGAATACTGGACAATAACAAAGAATAGAGAATACTGGCCATTAACAAAGAATAGAGAATACTGGACAATAATAAAGAATAGAGAATACTGGACAATAACAAAGAATAGAGAATACTGGACAATAATAAAGAATAGAGAATACTGGACAATAATAAAGAATAGAGAATACTGGACAATAACAAAGAATAGAGAATACTGGACAATAATAAAGAGTAGAGAATACTGGACAATAACACAGAATAGAGAATACTGGACAGTAATAAAGAGTAGAGAATACTGGACAATAACAAAGAATAGAGAATACTGGACAATAATAAAGAGTAGAGAATACTGGACAATAACAAAGAATAGAGAATACTGAACAATAATAAAGAATAGAGAATACTGGACAATAATAAAGAATAGAGAATACTGGACAATAATAAAGAATAGAGAATACTGGACAATAATAAATAGTAGAGAATACTGGACAATAACAAAGAATAGAGAATACTGGACAATAATAAAGAGCATCTGTCATGATGGCTGACACCGAATAACCAGATATTTTAAAAGCTTGTTTGAGGATCAGTATGAAATTATAACACTTGAATACTGTTGTACAAACACATTTGAGGTTAATAATATGTAAAAGTAGAGCACGACTTTCCTTTTAAAATTCCCTGCCTTAATGAGTCACCACTCAGTCTCTACCAACTGACCCGAAGGACAAAGAACAATACAATACAATACAATACAATACAATACAATACAATACAATACAATACAATACAATACAATACAATACAATACAATACAATACAATACAATACAATACAATACAATACAATACAATACAATACAATACAATACAATACAATACAATACAATACAATACAATACAATACAATACAATACAATACAATACAATACAATACAATACAATACAATACAATACAATACAATACAATACAATACAATACAATACAATACAATACAATACAATACACAATAAACCATAAACAATATACAATATAATAAAATATGATACGAATTGCTATTGCTGCACTGCGATGCGATGCGATACGATACGATATGGTGTTTTTTTTTCTTCAAATTAAGGTCCCCCAAGGGATAATCATAATTTAGTTTCATCAACATGAACAAACAAAACAGTACAAAGTTGAACATATTTTTATGGTGAAGAAAAAAGAACATTTTTATTTTTTTAAGTTCTCTACAGGTGGGTTGTGTAATGCAGTATAAAGCAAGGGGAGATACCATTTGTGTTAATTGCTAAGCTGGGGGAGACACCAGGGAACGGTGCTTATTAAAAGTCATACAAATACGAATCTCCCCGTGTCTAAACCAGCTAAGCAAGCATTTCAAATGGTAAGTTGGTTGCTTAGCTGGAGGAGACACTTTAAATGGGATGGTGTTTAAGAATCGTATGAATATGGGGACGTTTTTCCCGTGTCTAAACCATTCAAGCTAGCTGTTAAAATATGAAAGAGTAATTCACAAACAAATTGTGAAATATTGGAATTTAACAAATTTGGTTGAGCAAAGCTAAAGCTTGTGATTCAATACATAAACTCTCTAAAGTGTGTATGCATAAAGTGACTCAAACTTTTAATACTGGCATATGCCCTCACAAGTTGTTAATCAAAATAACTTTTCAGGAGGACACATGCGTACAAAGATATTGTATGACTAAGATATTGTTCTAAACTAATTTGTCGCTCATAGTTAAATTTGTTGGAATAGAGGAGCAAATATATTTCGTCAATCTCACCTGGAGTCGCACTACCCACACAGTCTAAGGTGTGGTAGTGTACCATGCGGGTGCGTTCAATATCATAGTCGCTACGTAGATTTGGACTACTGAACGTACAGCTAGCCTATCCGCCAAATAGGTCTAAATAGCCCCAAAATGCATGTTATGTAGAGAATTCGAAATGGCGTCGGGTTGATTATTACCATCGACGCTACTTTGATATAGGTTAGCTACGACACAGATAAATATCTACGGTATAGCGACTTTATTAGCTGCTGCGATTTGATCGCAAACCTGCCAGTTTCTATTTCCAAGCAATTTCTTTATTTTGTTAGGCTCCTCCTATGCTCAAAATTACCAATATATGAGATAGATAGTTTTCAAATCCAAAAACTACCATATGCTACTGTTGCTGAATCTTGCTGTTTTTTTTTTAATTAAAAGCGTCCCATATTTCACTAACATAAAGTTAAATTGTTGATCAATTGTGTAATCAAATATATAAATGAATTTTTGATTTAACGATAGTTTTTCTGAAGTTTATAATATATGTTTAAACTTTTCTTGTAAAAGTCATTCTTAGGATTTTTAGGAAAAGGAGCCTGGGACGAGTTTCACAAAAAATCTTACGACTAAAATTGATCGTAAGTTTACTGAATTGTGTAAGACTTACGGTCAATATTAGTCGTAAGTTGTTTTTGTGAAACTCATTCCTGAAGCACTTAAGTATACACATAAGGTCAAGGGAAGCAAATGAACAACGAAATTAATCAGAATCGAAAACCAAAATTTCCAAAAACTTGTGCCAATTCTGGCTACGGCTACCTTATGTCTGGGGTGGAAAAACCTTATCGTTTAAAAATAAAAACAGGTTATTTGTAGAAAAGGACGTATTAATTAATATTTCTTGCGACCACAGAAGCGCTGAATACTGGGTTGATAATATCCTTTGGGTGAAACGTCCACTAGCAGTGCATGGCATCGACCCAGTGGTTGTAAAAATTATCAAGATACCAGGCTAGACTTATTATTTGGTATGCAAGACGCGTATTTCGTCTACACTTTATTCATTAGTGTCGCACGAATCAAAACAGTTGAAAGGCCAAGTCAATAATGAAGTTGTAGAGCATTCAAAACCATATATTCAAAAAGTTGGGCCAAACCTGTCTAAGGTTATGCCAAATCTGTCTAAGGTTATGCCACATCTGTCGAAGGTAATACCAAATCTATCAAAGATTATGCCGAATCTGTCTAAGGTTATACCAAATCTGTCTAAAGGTACGCCAAATCTATCAACGGTTATGCCAAATCT